TCTCTCTCTCTCTCTCTCTCTCTCTCTCTCTCTCTCTCTCTCTCACACACACACACACACACACACACACACACACACACACACACACACATTCGTCCCTACCCGCTCGTTTTTTTCCCTCCCTTCCTTCTCCATTGCCTCCCTTGATCTTTCAACGTGTGCCCTCCATGCCCCCTCACAAAATTCTTCCTCCCACCAATCCGATTTTCCTCCTCGTCTTTTCTCCTTGCCCTATGTCCGTCGCCCCTCTCTTCCCGCCTTTCTCCATGCCCTTCTCTCCTCCGTTGGGATGCTTTTTCAGCTCCTCCTCTGACACTCGACGTGGCCTCATCGGATCTGGTCTTCCTCTGTCCGTCGCTCTTTCTCTCTTCATTGATCTCCGTCCCTCTCATGATTCACGCCCTTCTTGTTCGTCGCTCTTTCTCTCTTCATTGATCTCCGTCCCTCTCATTGATCCCCGTCCCTCTCATTGATCTCCGTCCCTCTCTTCATTGATCTCCGTCCCTCTCATTTACCCCATCCCTCTCATGATTCAGGCCCTTCGTCATTATCCTGCTCTTTCCTTTCCTTACCACCTGTTCCCCTCCCTCCGCCCTGAACCCCTCTTCCCCCCTCCAGTCTCTTCTTCCCCACCTTGTCCTCATCCCCCCCCACTACACGACCTGCATTCCTTACCCGTGTGCCTTGACGTTCTTTCTCCTGCACTTCATCGGTTCCTACATCCTCACCCTGATTGGCTGGCATGTGGCATTCCCACCTTCTCCTCCTCTCGATCCCATATCCTGATCGGTCCCCTCCCAATTAGCCCTGCCCATCCCCTTCTTAGCGAATTGGGTCCCCGACCTACATCCTCCAGCAATTTACTTTAGGACCCTCCTCGACGTCTTCCCCCTCCACAACCTCCTTAACACCGGCAAACATACCTTGCATTGCATGCTTCACCCTATCCTGGCAACTCTCCTTCTGCTTCCTTTGTTGCCGCATCCCATCCTCCCCGACCAAATCCCGACCCTCTCATCCTCCTGATCACGCATCCTGACCGTCACCCTTCGTCGGTCTCCTGCTACTCCAGCCCCTGCAGATTTCGATGGTGACCTTCTCCTGTCTGTCTGACGAGGGAGGGGGGGACACAGAGAGAGAGAGAGAGAGAGAGAGAGAGAGAGAGAGAGAGAGAGAGAGAGAGAGAGAGAGAGAGAGAGAGAGAAGGTGCACTTCGCCACGCCGGACGAACCCACCTATTCCGTTTTGGGGCCGAGTGTGAACAAAACCCTCCACCTCTTTACACACAACACCGCTGAGAGAGGGAGGGAGGGAGAGAGGGTGACTTGGCCACGCCGCGCGAACTCGCCTATTTCCTTTTGGCGCCGAGTGTGAATGACGTACGACACCGCAGGCACAGAGAGAGAGAGAGAGAGAGAGAGAGAGAGAGAGAGAGAGAGAGTACACTTCTGCACACCCGTTTGCACGCAGCTCCTCCGCCTGCCTGTTCCTTTCTGCGCAGCGCCGACCAGAACGGAAAATGTCGACTGCGCCGAGAAAACAAATGCCCGTCTGAAAAGCCAATGTGCTTAGCTCGGTCGGCATACCAATGACCTGTACAAATTCAGACCCGAGCTATATTGGGCCCCTAAGTTAGAGCCAGCCGCGCCATGCCACTAACAAAGGGACAAGCTAAAGGCTATACATCTACCAGGTAGGGCCTCGCCCGCCATCACCAAATTTGAAAGGGACAAAAGTGCGGGCGATTACGATCAAGGTATGAATCAGGTGCCTCAAGGCGGTCGGCCCTTCGAAAAGAGAACGCGATTAGGAGGGAGGGGACCGGCCGAAGCGCTTCCGCCGGACCAAGCGCTAAGCCCTCGGTAACGTGGGCTTCTGAGTCAACCGTGCATGCGCCGCCATCATGACGTCGCCACCGTAGCTATGTCCCTGTCCTTATCCGCCATGTTCGGAGGGTTGTCTATCGGCGATGGTGTCATAGAGACTTGTCAGTTAAGGTCCAACCATTTTGAGCGCACCATGTTCTAGTTCAACACTGTCGTAAGTTTGTCAACAATTTCCTACGGCTTTCTAATCGCGTCTTCTAGTCTTGGTGTTACGTTCTGAGTGGAGTAGACTCAGAACTATGGCAGTGGTCCAAATGGAAGCTCAGTCTCCTCCTCCTGACCCGGGTGGAGAAAGAGACGAAGATGAGAGGCTTAGAGAACTGATGAGGTTATGCTATGAGGAAGGGATTATGCCCCCTAATATAAATCCAGGAGAAATGACAGTCAAAGGAAGAGAGGTGAGATTCAAAGTTAACGAGCACATAGATAGAGTGAAGATAGCTTGGCTGAAGGAACATACCGTGACTGTGATTTTTCGAGAACGGGCGAGATTTCTCCCTAAGAAAGTCAAGGATGATATCGTACGTGCATTTGAAGACGACAAAATCCAGGAAGGCAGCTTCGACGCGGTGAATTTTCGACGTGGAAGGGTGAAAGTGGAGAGTCCAAATGTGGTCTCATATGTGGCGAAATCAAGGGCGGTTACCAAAGGTCATGACGAAATCACTATTGGTCAGGATACATACAAGCTGGAGTTCAAGTCATGGATGTCAAAAGCTCAACTCCGGGAGCAACGACAAGAAGAGGACGAGCTCACTTTCTGGGTTACTGCTGTCCAAGTGCCTCTTGATTCCTTTTTCTATCTAGAGGCACAAGTGGCAAGGGCAATTGGCCCCATAATCCGAACGCATCCAACGGAACCAGATCGACTGAAGCCATCACTTGTCAATATCAAATTTGACATTGACCCAACATCTCGTCCTAATATGAAGGACAAGATTTGGGTAATCACTCCAGAAGGCGATGAACTGGAAGTCAAGTTAGCATCATCGGAAACTCCGAGGTGCAGATGTTGCCGAGCGTTTTTTCACACGGACAACGAAAACAGGAGAGGGGCGAGACAGAATCAACAAAACAGCCAACCAGGCAGTGGCGGTCAACAGTTGTCTTCGAATCAAGGATATCAAGGCCCTATGGGCCCCTTGGGGCTCTCCCCCTCGATGGCAGCACTACACATCGATTCAAACAACGCTCAAGGAGGTGGTCAGCCGTTTGTCAGCTCTCGTCTCAATCCAACATTCTCTCCAACTCATCCAGCCGGCTCAGGTGGGCAATCCAACGGACAGGGAGGCAGTCAGCCATGAATGCAACTCCCTCCACATCCTCAATACGGCATGCCAAGTTGGACTGGGAATGCATTCACGCCCTGGATGCCACAGCCAATATTTCAACAGGGGGGATATGTACCCCCTTTGAACGGGGGTGTGGGGATGATTCAACCTCAGCAACAAGTAGCATTAGGCGGAGTGGCAGGTGCTGGTGGACTTCAAACGACTGTTCCGTCCTACCCTCCCAGGATGGGAGGGGGAGGAGGAGATGGAGGGGCAACCGAAAGTGTAGCAGGGCCGGCAGCCAAGATCGCAGGCGGGAGTGCCTCCGCCAACAACGCCACTGGAATCAACCTCGAACGTGAGCTTACACCTCGACACAAAGATAGTACCGATCACTGAGACCACGATCGAGCACTCCAGGGAAACAGTGACGACTCGACATGGAAGGGAGTTTCATTGCAAGTGGTCTGCAGGAAGGGGGGGAAGCATCGGACACATCAATTCCAAGATCAGAGGACTCTACTGGAAGGATAAGAGTGGTGGGCACACCAGGAAGCTACTCGGGTAAAAGGAGAGTTCCAACCTCCCTTGGCAGAGGTCAACTCCAACAGGTCAAGAACAGGGTATTGTCTCTTTTCTGTACCTATGCCAGAAACTCCTTGTGGGTTATTGCTTGGCCAACCTCGGACAACTCGTTACAGATGGTAAGTTTCCATGGCCCAGAACAACCAATGCCCTCTGCGCTAGTTTCTTTAGTTAGAACGACCATTAACGATCGGTTCTTATTTCGTATCATTCTTGATATGGCGATGCCTAGATTGATTGTGGAGAGCCCGGAAGGGGGCGATAAACAGATAAAATTCTTCGTTCCAATCATGGATGCAAGATTTGTGGTTGGCCATTTGGAAAAATTGGAAGAAGAAGGCATACGCTTCATCCCCTTGTCCTGGTTCGGTGAATCCCGAAAAATGGAGCTCCGTAGACTGAAAAGCCTCCTCTGCAGTCCGCCGAGCGATTAGCGGATGTGGATGGCAAACTGTTGAAAGACAAGAAATTACTGTCTCCGTACGTCAGGTCAATGCTAACTTTCACATGGTTAACCGCCTTTCAGGGCTCTCCTATCCAATCAGTTGGTCGGAGTCAGTCTGCCAATGGGCAAAATTAGAATCGGGTCGTGGAATGTTAGAGGGTTGGGCGATGGAGCAGGTCGCCATAAAAGGGACAATCCGAAATCATGGATCTTCGATAAATGCATTCAAGTAATGTGCCTACAAGAACTAGATCATCAGAGGAAAAAATTACAGGCTTATTGAACTGGTGGGACGGCCCCCAATTAGGGGCTCCTGCGATTGGTTCAAGAGGAGGCACTGCAATCCTGATTCATAGGAAGGCAGAGTTAGAGATAGTTGATTTTTACTTTGATATTTGAGGGCGGTGGTCATGGGTAAAATGCTTTATTAATGGCTCCTACTGGGTAATAGCGTCAATCTATGCCCCAACAGATGAGACTCTTCGTGCTAACTTCTTTCAAGGTCTGTTATTAATACCATAGGCTGACAACCTAATTCTTGTTGGCGACTGGAACACCTCGATGGACGACCTTTCGGGTAGGAAGATCAGAGACAAACTATCTCTTACTATGGTCATGGACGAACTAGAAGTGATTGACCCTTTCCGTCTTTCTCATCCGGAAGCTCTGGGCTACACATGGTTCTCTCATCACCGGGAGAATACGAGAATCACCAAACGTAGACTAGACTACTTTATGATTTCCTCCTCGCTATGGCAAGCGGTAGATAAGGTACATGAATCAGCTCATTATTTATCTGATCACAAACCTGTGATTCTCTCCTTGCATACATCGGAAGCCCTGCGTGGCAAAGGGCTATTTTGGTTTAATACTGAAAATCTTAAAGAACCAAGGCTCATTTTATGGATGAAACAGTTTTGGAGAGATTGGGAGAAATCACGTGGAGATTTACCAATCTACGGCAGAATGGTGGAACTCAGGGTCACGGATTTTTTCCAACCTCCTGAGTTTCATCTCTCGCCTGTTGGCCTACAAACGAAACAAACGTGTGGTTGAAATTCAAAAACGGCTAATATATGTTGAGTCGAGAATGTTGGAACATCCAGTTTCAGAGAAAGTATGGGGTAAGGAAAGAAATAGGTTGCTGGCTGAATGGGACGAGCTCGAATGTAAACAGTCGGAAATCATGGTTGACAGACTGCGTATCAAAGGCATTGCGGTATATGACCGCATGACAAAGGAAGCCTTCTATAAGCTACTCCCAAGAAGAGTCACGGTACCTATGAAGGAGTTAAAGCACCCGTTTGACGAGGTCGCTCCGGTAGCAAAAGAACTAACTGAACTCTGTAACTATGCGGCGCTATATTACAGGGATATTTTGACCCATAGAACTCAGGGAGCCAACACTCGGTCCGACCTCCACAAGGACTCACAGCACTGGATCAACACACTGGCTAGACTCTCTCAGGCTGGTAGGTTAGATTTGGACAGGCTTGTCCTAATCACTGAAGCCCATGAGGCACTCAAGGCAATGCCAACAGGTAAAGTACCAGCGGATGATGGCCTGCCAGCTGAACTGTTCCAGTCTATATGGGACGTGGTAGGAGGAAAGTTGGTTGAAATCTACAATGAGTGTCTGACAAGAGGGAAACTAGCGTTGAATATATGTCGAGGAATTATTTTTGTCCTCTTCAAGAAAGGCGATAGAACTGAAATCCGGAACTGGCGCCCAATATCCATCCTAAACGTGTCATACAAAATCTTGGCCAAAGTCTTGGCGAGACGACTGGGTCGCTATCTTCCGGATTTAGTATTTTCAGACCAAGCCGCTTTCATCAAGGGTCGCTCAATCTTCGACAATATTGTTACGGCAATCGAAACATTGGAGGTAATTCAGAATGAACAGCTCGACATGGCAGTCCTTCTCATGGATTTGGAGAAGGCATACGACCGTGTAAATTGGTCTTATGTCCTCTCAACCTTGGATTTGATGGGGTTTGGGAAAAACTTTTGTACTTGGGTATCGGCCCTGTACATGCTTTCCACCGCTGCAGTGATGATAAATGGTCGATTGTCGCAAGACTTCCCTCTCACCAGATCCCTACGCCGGGGCTGCCCTCTAACCCCCTTACTATTTGTTGTTCAAATGAAAGGGGTTCTCAACAACATTCGGGCACACACACAGATAGTTGGACTTCAAGCAGGTCCAACTCCATACAAGGTTAAAGCATTGGCTGACAATCTATTTGCTGTAGTGGAGAATTCTACCCAGTCGCTTGCTGCCTTGAAATACTGCCTGGATGAGTATGCCTCGTTGTCTGAAGCAGCTATAAACTGGCATAAGTCAGTCTATTTTCTCCCAACGCCATTTTCGTTAGTGGTGCAGTGGGGAATGAAGCGCATTGGGGTCGGTCAACCATAACGTTTTTTGGGGGTCCAAATAGCCCTGTCGAACTGTGCGGAAGCCCATGACCGAATTCTACTGCAAAAGATTACGCAAAGAGTGGTATCGTGGGGTAAAGCACCTCATTTATCAATCTATGGTAGGGCAATGGTCGTTAATGGGGCTCTGTTTGTTCTACTATGGTATGTAGGGAGCGTACGTGGACTGGGATCTCACTATATACACTATCTAGAC